TGGGAAGAGAGACAACTTATAAAGATGGTGACCAAAAATCATGTAAGTAGAAAAAGAATTTATAACTTAAAATTAGATTTTAAAAAGACGGCCGCACGCGTGGACTGTGCGACGACATATGGCGTCATTCGTCCCCTTGACTTTATTTTAATGACGCCAAATTGTGTCGCTCGGCTCTTAAAGGTTAATGGGGCCAACATATTAGTCTTATGATCATTAAGAGAAAGTGAATTTGGAAAGTCACTTCTGTCTTATAGCTGTATAAGATATGGCTTGTTGGTGAGGAGGGGTTATAAATTATATAAGTGATTAAAAAAGTATCAGCCATTAGAAAAAATTCACAATCATGAAATATTATTGGCTACATTCCCATAATGAAGTTGATTAATGTGTTATGTCTCTTTCATATTTGTGGAAGTTATGAACACAGTAATTTTACATTTTAAAAAAGAAAGGGGGGGGGGAAGAAATTGAAAGTGAGTTGTCACAAGTACAGTTCTTTCCAGCATTCAGTCCACTGACATACTAAATCCAGCCATCTTTAATTAAAACAAAATAAACTGGACCTTATATGGCAATGTTAAAATTACATATGCAGGTCAAGTTTTCTTACAGAATGGCTCATTATCGCCAATCCATTGTGTCATACATCAGAAGCTTTATAATGACCAGTGACTGATGCACAATGTACATCTGAACTCCCATACTTTGAAATATGTACATATACAGGGCTGCCTGAACATGAAAATGCTTAGTTATTTTAAATACAGTTTAAAGTTTTAGGTACCATTGAAATATCTGTCCATCTGTTTTCTTATTCAGCGGCAAGGCACTCTTCATTCTTTACTTGACTTGCACATATGCATACCCCACTTCTGTAGTGCTCACATTCTTTTGTTATTTGAACAGTTTATTCTACAGTATTGATTATATTTATTCACCCTGTTCCATAACATTTTATCAGATTTCTTGAAGGTCTGTCCCTGGAAAGAGTGGGTACAGCCAGGCATTCACCTACCTTCTTACTTAAGAATTTCAATCTTGGTATAAATGCAGCAAATGTGAGAACAATAAATGGACTTCAGAGGATAAAAGTATGCAGTTATTGGCTAAATTGTTTGTTTCGTGATGGATCTTTTTTATCAGAGAACATATATTTCATTCCGGTAAAAAAGTATCATTGTTGCTTAGTGGTTTGTTGGACATAAGTAAAATCTCACCCTGTTCATTTGGTATAACATAATCCTGTCATTTCATTGCTGTGTGGTTACACTTGCCCCCCCCCCCAAAGGGGGGGGGCATCTTTAGAGGAGAGATTTCCATCATCATTATTCTGAAATAATTACTTTTTTGTTCTGTAGAAATGGATTACTGCCCTCTAATTGAGACATTAACTCTGTAAAAGCATTGGATATAAACAACATTTTCTGAACCACTCTTTAAAATTGTGGAAATTGACAAAAGCTGACTTAAATTTTCAAGTATTTATTTATTTATTTTATTTATTTATGTTCTTGTGTTGTTACTTTGCAAAGTTCAATTATCACCTAATCCAGACCACAATTTCCCCCATATAACCCAGATGAGTGATGTTACACTGCTAAGCTTTTCCTTTATTGCAAAATTGCCAGTTGTCAGAGCAGCTGAATAGACTACCAATCCATTAACCTATATCATCCGTGTATCATACTACTCTTGATGTGAGTACAGGCCTAGCATTGTTTTGTTTTCAATATAAAAGTAAGAAGTCCTGGGTTAAAATGTGATTGCTGCCAGCATTCTTAGTAATGGGAATTTAAATCACCTATTTCTGTACAACAAAGTTTAGTCAGATGTCAAAGATAAATATATGTACAATTGTGTCTTGTTGTTCCTCTTTGTTTTTTAATAGGTTAAAGCAGCTTTGACACACAGATTCAATAAGGGAGGTATCATGACACCGTACTCTATTGTAAAAATCAAGAACTCTGCATCAAAGTCCAGCCAGGACTTGGAATTTGATGGTGATGAGCAGGATGTTGGAGAGGAAGAGGAGGAGGAGGAAGGCATTACAAGGGATGCAATGATCAAGGTGAGAACTTATATGACAGTTTGTTTTGTAAGACCTTGGTCTTCTGGGATGTTAGAGGTAGAGAGGTACCACCATTTCAGAGGAATCTCTTGCCTTCATCTGTATGGCAGAAGAGGTAAGCCAAGCAAGGAAAATAGTGTGTGATATAGGGAAAGATGGTTTGGAATGGTATTTAAATGTGCCAGTATGGAATCATTGGCCCTGAAAAGTGGTCTTTTCTGCCATGAAGGTGAATGTAACGGTCTGTACCTTACACATATGCAACCATGTATCATAGTACATAGCATCACATTCCAGAAAATTACACTGCCATGGGGACCTAAAATCTCATACTGTTGTGACTGAACGAGTTGGGTGACGTAGTGCTTCTGCCTTATACTCAAGAAGCAAGTAAAAAGAGTAAGTAGAGATATCCCTGTAACAGGCTATGAAGGCCCATAGGGTTGTGAGACGTTGAGGGCCCCCCATTATCTAGACAATTGGCTCAAAGATGGCAGTAAGGTTGTCAGTCTTACACGCAGGCCGCGCTTTACTCCCCAGCAGTTTAAATATCAGCTGGGATACTGACTATCCACGCTGAAGTTTTTCATGGTCCATTAAGGCACCGCCTACTTCCTTCTGTATCCTTTCCAATTCATTGTTCACCATTATCCAGTAATTTAATAAGACACAAAAGTATATAACGTATGCCGTGTACACAACAATATTCTGTATTTAAAAACAAAGAAGACACTGCTGTATCAACATTTGCATTTATTATGCTTTTACAGATGCAACATGTTTCGACCCTTAAACCAGGTCATCATCAGGCATACAATGCTCCAGCATGAGCCGATGAATTGCAATTAATTATCATCTGATTCTTCAAATAAGGATTCTTATTGTCTTGAAATTATTGAAATGCATAAATACATGTATTAAGTTTTGGTCAAAATTTTGAAAATTGAAAGTCCTTAGATAATAAAATTTTTAATTTAAGATATAAAGATTAAAATTAGAAACTAAAGATTAAGACATGAAAGTTAAAATTCTGCTTTTGTGGTAAGACTCTTCAACCGCTACGTGTTGGCCTGGTTTTTATGCCAGTAGAAGTGTGGGGTGCCCGCGTATCGGAATCTTCTTAGATGGGATAGGTCATATAGTCATGACCTTATTAATGTCTTACGGAGCTATGCTCATTATTCAATATGTGATGTATATTAGGTTGTTCTTATGAACGGTGTGTACTGGCTGCTCCCTGCATTGATGCAGTCATTTGATGCTGTATAGTCTGAGTTTGAATATAAGTTATTCACAAATAAACTGACCGTGACAACTAACTTTGCCATTGTTTCCTGTAACATGATACAGAATGGTGGTATTGTCACATCTCTGGATGTGTAATGTCATTATCCCACACCATATAGATTTGAATCTGTTGAAGTATTGTAATGAAATATGTTAGATTTGAGGTTCTCACAGCAGTGACTGTGAATAATGTGATATTCTGGGTTGTAACACTGTGTAGTTTCGTAGAAGTCCAATGTCATTTCAGAAGACTTTCATCATCTGCCCTCAGAGACCATAAGAGCTGAAAGGCTTTCGTAACCATCTGAACACTGTCCATCAGAATATCAGTTCGCTATGGAGGTGGAAAGAGATGTCCATCTTCCCTTCCTGGACGTTTACATTTACATGAAACCTGAAGGTACATTGGGTCATAAGGCATATCATAAACCCACCCACACCCACCTGTCCCTAAAATGAAGCTGTCACTACCACCAGTCCAAGATGCATGCCAACTTTCCCCCTTGGTGCACAGGAGTTTCACATTGTCGTATTCAGGGAGAATGGCTACTGTGACCAACAGATTCACAGGGCTCTCAATCCTCTTGTGGGATTGAATCAGATTGCCCAAGTGCTGTTCCAGCCCACCATCAAGGTGGTCAGCTTTCTGCAGCCAGGCCAGGGCAACCTAGGATTGAATACACTGGGAGTATACAGCATCCCTTGTTAATGTGGTTAGCTTTGCAATTGAGGTGTGTTCAAAAAGTTCTTGAAATTATGATACAAAACAGCAGTGCATCCAAAACATTAGGTGTTTGTGTGACCTTGCAGCCTGACCATTAACAACACAAGCCATTTTGTTACAAGTAAATCAGACCTTCCATTTAGTTTTTATAGTCGGGCTTGTTGTCTTTGTCACATTTAATATGAAGTCGGTAAAATAGCAAATAATTTACATTAAATTCTGTTTACAAGTAAGGAAAAGATGCATAAACCCAAAATATGTTACATGAAGCTTACAGTGGTGATTCGTGGAGTCAAAACGACAACCTACAAATGGTTGAGATATTTTTAAAATGGAAGAACTTCAATGGATGACAATGAGCGGTGTGGCTGACCTTCAACTTCAAGATCGAAACTTCTGATTGCCCAGGTGAAAAAGATATCCGTGGAAGTCATCAACTGACTGTCGAAGAAGTTGCGGAAGAAGTTTGAATATCCATTCATTCATGCCACATAGTTGTAACAGAAGAAGTCACAAGGGCTTAAGACCAGGAAGTATGGTGGATGGTACAGCACCACCCAGCCCCATCGATCGAACAAATCAGCCACAGCTTGCGCACATGCAGCCAAGCAGTGTCCTGCAAAATGATGGGTGGGTTCTGCAGAAAGTGAGCTGGTCACAGGTTGTGTTCCAAAAATGAACAGTAATACTGTGCATTGACAGTCTGCTTTCGGGGAACAGTATTCGTTAGGATAACACCGTCACAGTCGTACACAAGAATCACCATAACTTCCACATTGCTGGGGTTCTGACAAACTTTTGATTTTCATGATGACCTGTAATTATGCCATTCGTTCGATTGGCATTTCATTTGTAGCTCATATGATTTGGCCCATGTCTCATCCATCATAATGATACGGCATAAGAAAGGCTCCTTCACACTCATAGCGCTCCACGTGGTTATGAGCAGCGTCGTATCGTAGCCATTTCTGCATTTCTGTCAAATCATGCAAAACCCATCATGATGCAATTTTTCTCGTGCCCAGGCGTTCCTTCAGAATGTGAAGCACAGTCATACGTGCTAATCCTGTCTCGGGCCAGCTCACAAATCATACGGCGTTGATCACTCTCCAGTAACGCAGAAAGAGCATACACTTCTTCACTGACAGTAGGACGACCTGGCTTACGCATGTCTGCCACATTTTGGCATCCCTCATTGAAGGCTTTTACCCACCTTGCCACTGTTCTGTAAGGCAATGCAGATTCCCCGCAAGCCTCTTGAAGACCTTGATGACACTGTCATGCTGTGCGGCCTCTGGCACATTCAATCTTTATCCGACTCCATCATCCCTGTTTTGAAAAAACATCATGACAACCCTACATTAGACTGCCAGCTAACACGAGACTCTGTTCTTCTCATCACTGGGCATGCGCGCAATGTGGGAAGGGAGAGTCCATTTGCTCTGAGGTAAGGTAGGTATGTAACTAACGTGTGGTATAAGCAACATTATTTGGTTCTATTGCATGGTGTCTCTACAGCAGCGTTGCCACTGTTAAAGTTCCAAACCTCGTAGATTATTTGTCCTATCTGAATACTATGATCCTTTTTTTATATCCAGCCTGATGTAGGTCTGATATTTTCTAGGAACTTCCACTGCGACTGACATTCAGGGGATTACAACAGTGTTTTAAAACATTAAATTCTTGACACTTGTATCACTTCCATAATGAAAATTAATTTTTCACTTGACCATATCACTGCATAAATTGGCAGACCAGGAAATACCAGAGTACTGTCTCCTGGGACATAATGTCATGTAATCAACTGAAAGTCAACTGACATTTTAGAGGAACATATCGTCTCCATCTTCAGGGTTGAAGAATAGCGGAGCCCTGCTTGCCACATGCTTTCACATTGGTTTCTTGCTTGGCCTATTCTTCAGCCCTGAAGATGGAGACAATATGTTATTCTGAAATGTTGGTTGACTTCCAGCAGACTACGTGGTGATATACCCCAGAAGGTAGTACTGTTCATAACCACCGCTATGATAACCTAAAATCCTACAATGAAATACAACTTAAGCCTGATAATATCAGGTATTAACTCAAATGCTGAACGACTCATCATGCCTGATCAGACCACTTACTAACTAACTCCCTGGAGATGAATTCGTCTTGAGAAGCCACCAGTCGCTCAGCCACTCTAGGATTTCCCAACATTTTATGGAACCTGAATGTTCATTACTGTTTCCACAGGAGTCCTTCATACATCCCTGGCCTGAGCCAGATCATTCCAGTCCATACCTCCCCATCCTCTCTCTTATGATCCAGTTTAATATCCTCCCACCTATATCTAGGTCTTCCTAGTAGTCTCTTTCCTTCCGACTTCACCAAAATCCTATATGCATTCCTCTTCTCCCCCATTCATGCTACATCTCGTGTCCACCTGATCCTCATTCACTTGATTATTCTAATTATACTTGGGGAAGAGTACAAGTTATGAAGTTTCACTCATACAAAACCATGGAAAATTATTTTTTTATACAGTCATATCACTTTCATATCCCAACATGATACTTTCCAAAGATGTATTGAAGTGATCAGAAAGTGCTGTGGATAAGAAAAATTTCCATAAATCTGGGCATATGGTTTTTCAAAAGCTAAGGCCAGAGGTCAACGTCAGAATGGTAAGCTGCCTACAAATTGTATGCCAATGAAACCCCAACTTAACTTTCAGTTGATACAAGAATGAGCTCTCTGTCTTAGTTAGGAGCACAGTTATAAGCATTTCACTGAATTGGAATGAGGAAAAATAGAAGAAAAACTTAAAATTTAAAAATGCTGTATCTTTGCAATTAATGGACACAGAACGAAGAAATTTCACGTTTTTCCACGTTGCAAAATTTTGTTAACATCAGAGATTGTCATGAAGATTTTCTTCTAAACTGCAGTGATTGAACTTGGAATGAAGCTTATATAAAAGCATACATATGAAATTCTGAGTCAGGAAACAAGCACCACCTGCTGTGGTGCCCTGATGCATTGCAAGGTAACAGTTCCGCAGAATAATATAGAACATCTCTTATGGCAGTATTTACATATTTTCTGCACAGAATCTTTATTTCTCTTCATGGCAATAATTAATGAATGCTTCTGTGCTGGTAACAGATGATAAGCATGGATATTGGTGACGAACTAGCACGTTATATCTGACGAATTTAATGTACTGATAATTTCTGCTAGTTGAAGTAGATCTTCAAATTGTATAGTTCATGTTATCCTTTCAATGTAAACTATAGCATTTGAAAAGAAATTAGTGTCCACAAGTTCTTCACAGATCCTCTTGTTTCTTCAAGCTCTTGCTGTTTGTGATCCAGTCAGTTTGTTTAATTTCTACTGGCCATGCATCACATTATTGTGATGGTGCAGCTGGCAGAGCACCAGTATCATTATCTGCATGTTAAAATATGGCCACAAATGATGTAAAATTGGAGATTTAAAATCCCCTATTCTTGGATGACAAAGGCTAAATTGTGTGCATTGTAATGTTTCTAAGTTCATATGCATTGTAAGGTAAGACAAAAGTAAATGGTTTTAAGTGCAGTCATAATGTTCAGTGCATCACAAATACACGTAGGTGCAGTTGAAATTGAATTTTAGTATTGGCACTTACTGCCTCAGAACCAGCTACACCCCAACTAGGTCTGCACTTGGAAAAGATTGATATAGTGATATTCTCCTTCCAGGTCAAAAAGCGAAACACCACAACACAGAATCCTGCACCAGGAAGAAGTGGGGCAAAGAGGAGAAAAGTTGATAACAAAGAAGTTAGAAAGAAAAATGATAAACACGAAAGGAAGTAGGAAAGCTTTAAAGAACTTTTCTACTTGGCATGCTAATATTAGTTTTCCAGTAACTACATGTAAGTGATACTGCTGCAGTAATTTTCTTTTGTTTGAAATGTATCATGATGTATTTACAGTATTCCAATTGCCATTTTTATACGTATGGTTTATACTGTGGAAATCTGGCTTTGGCATCAAAGTGGGCATTTGTATTATATGCAGGAGATTGTTTGATTTGTATGTAATACTCTGTATCAGGACGCAGATATTCGCACATGAGATTTTAGGTTCTCACAGTGGTGAATATTAAGATTATAGTCTTCTAGGATGTGGAGAAACCTGCTTCCTCCATATTCCAAATGCACCCCAGAGTCTAATGGCACTGGTTGACTGAGGGTCTCATTGCAATGCAGCCAGTGCTTGTGCCAATCCCTGCAGGTCTTAATACTGTACCCTGAGGATGAAGGCAGAACATTCCTCAGTAATTTGCTAGACCACATGGAGTCATGTCCCAGAAGACAATAATCTTCATTGTCACTACCCCAAGAACCTCATATATTTGGGATAAGAAAGTGCTGTTTCATTCCATGGTTTTTCTGGGATTAAGTTTTATAAGTATATCACACATTTATGTGGTTTTTGCACTACATTTTGACAGTGGTTTCCATTTCCAGATATATGGAAAGCCTTGGAACTAGTAAACTATACAAAGATTAAATATATGGGATAAAAGTAACATTAATATGTCTGTTTATGGCTGCTGAGCTTTGTAAGACCTTTCTTTATGATGAACACTCATGATTATAAATAAAAATATGTTTTGAATGTACTTTACAAAATGTTGGATAGTGACTGAAGATTTCTGTCTTCTGGGATGTAGTGGTATGTTTTCCGGTGAAAGCCAGGGTAACTCGTTTGATATAGCTATGCATTGGATGGCCAGCAGAGGCAAGAGATTTTTCTCTTCTCTGCATCACCCACACTGGCTCTGGGACTCACCCAGTATCCCTTGGATGAGGGAAGTGACTGGGACATGAATCTATTCACTCAGCTCCATCTGTTGCTGAGATCAAAAATGATGGAGGTTACCTCTACTGACCAACATGCCCTCATGAACAACTTTACTTTATCTTCAGTAGCTAAGAGTAAGCCAAGGAAGAAAGCAACTTGAAGCAGGCAGAAAGTAGAGTGCTTGCTGCATGCTTCATGCTGCTTCCTTGCTAGGTTTTTATTTCTCAACCCAGAAGAGGCAAGCAGCATGTTCCTCTGAATGTCAGAGGCCCAAAACTGAAAGTTTCAGAAAATAAAAAGATGATTTTAGATCATTTGAAACCAGTGTACTTTAATTTTACTTATACTGAAGTAATATAAAGAACTAAAACCATTCAAACATTTATTGAAGCTTTTTGCTCAAAAACATGGGATAAGGGTATGAAGCAGATTACAGTATTAGTCGAGTTGGTAAGTTGGTAAGAACGTTCTTGCAAAGAAGATAACTTGTTATAAAACTCTCTGAATTCCTGAGGTAAGTAGTCACACATTTTCATAAGATCGTTCTTTTTCTTTTTCATCAGACGAACTGAACTGAAATGAACTAAATTCAACTGAGTTGTAGCAGCTGATGTGGTAAGAGGAATGAAATGGGAACAGAACAAAGACTTCCCTTATGTTCTTAACCAGACAGTACCCATCTCAGGGTACATGAGATGCTGAGAGAGGTAATGTTAGGTTTTTGCACGTACATAATTGATGGATTATCCTGGGTAAATTTTAGCCGTGCTGCTTCTGTAGCTTTCAGCTTTGATCCCTGTTCAACATTGGTTGGAGGTCTTTGAAATTTTTTTCTGTCCAAAGCTCCCTTGTTAAAATGGATTGCCGGGCCTTGCCTCAGCAATCAGGTTTCCATTCACTTTGTACATATACTCTAGACCAGTAGTTCTCAACCTTTGTCAGACCAGTAAATTCTTTTGCCTATAAGAATGTCCTGGTATAATGGATGCCAGGGCCCAGTATCGGATCGCAGCCCGGCAGTTGAGAAACAGCTCTAGACACCCTTTCCTTTTCACAGTCATCACAAAGTCACTGTCACATGATAGGAGGCTGTGACCAAAACAAACTTTAGCTCCACCTGAGTGAAATATTTCTACCTAAGAAGATAATAGCACAGACTAATTAATCACTGTGAAGTTGTTATTCTGCCCAACATATGTCTGACCACGTTATGAGTTTCTTTCAGTTCCTACAATAATGAGCAAGTAATTCACAGTTATATAGCATAATACACATGCTTAAATTTCAGGAGAACCAACATTTGACTACAGATTCACTATCTGTGAGTTGGAGAACAACAGGAGCGTCATTGGCAATGTCTTAACATTCTTCCATAGCCCCTTTATCTGACTTCATCTTCACATGTTACATCTTTGGCATACTGTAACAGATCACACAGCTTTCTTTCGTGTGAAACAGCCAAACCCCTGTTAAGCTAATTAAGCTAATTGCTTCTCTCACCGACGGGAAGTGTAAAGTCATGGTAGAAGGCGAATTTTCTACGGCAAGAGAAATAGCAAGGGTACGTCAAGGTTCCGTTCTTGCCCCAGTGCTGTACAGTCCATACATAAATGATGCCCCTGCGGCACCTGAACTGATCTTGCTCTGTTCGCGGGAGATACCTGTATTTACACGACAGAGAGAGACGAACGTCGTGTTCTCTGCAAATTGCAACGCGGCCTCACAGCAGTGAAGTCGTGTTATGAGCTCTGGAACATAAAGATCAATGAAGGGAAAACTCAAGCCCTCTATTTCTCCAGAAGAACAGAGTCCTGACGACATCCTACAACTGCACAGACGATACATACCCTTTGTAAATAATGTAACGTCGCAACAAACGAGGCGCATACGTAAGAAGACCAACCTCTTCTTCATTGAATAGGGGGCCCAGAGGGTTGTGAGATGTTGAGGTTCCCACATTTTCTAGACAACCGGCTCACAGATGGTGACAAGGTTGTCAGCCTTACGCGCCGGCCGTCCTTTACCCCCAAGAATTTTCTTGGTACTCATGTCTGTTAGAGGCTGAGTCTACCCCAGGGCCATAGTGAGGCTGGAAGGAATAGGTCAATTAAAAAAAATCCACTCACCTCATCGGGACTTGGACCCGCGACCTTCCGGCTTATAGCATAGTGCCTCAACCAACTACGCTACCGTGTGCCCTTGATACTTGTCTAGGAGAGAACAAAAAAATCTTGGTCATGAATCTCGGAAAAGTCTGAAGTCAGGAATGACTGTGCTGGCAAAGCCAGCAGCAATTTAACCGAATAACCAACCTTCTGTACATTACTTAGAATAGTGCAGTGGTAGGCTGCACAGTGCCCACAGGGACCTGGACGCTTTCACAGCCCTGATATCGCCGTGCTAAAACTAAGGGGCAACAAACCTAGCACCTGAACAGAGAGACCGACCCCCCCTCCTCGTCGAAGAGGAGGCCCCTTCTCACAAACTCATACGTGTGTAAGAGAAAGAAAAGCTTAGTCAAAAGTCTCGAGGAGACCTGAAGCCAAGAATCACTGCTGGCGAGGGCCAGCAGCAATTTAACAGGCCGATCGAAGCGAGTCAGTCTTGAGACAGCAGTTCGGGAGCTGTAAGTGCGTGGTTAGCAGCCGTAACCTAGAGACGCATAGTGAAGATGATAACCAAACGACGAGCAGTGAAGACAACGGACTTGATCCTTAGTACATAGTATAGTGATTTGTTAAGTATGTGGATCCATGAAACTGTTGTAGTTACTTGTAGGCACAAGTTCTAAGTGTTCAATCCAGTTACCAATCAAAACCCTGTGTCTAGTCACTAAGACGTGATATCACAGACTCGAAATTCCAACACCAAAATCGTCACTGATATACCACCATCCAATTTCCTTTTCGTGTTTCCATAACCTTGAGGGTTTGTATAGATCATTTATGGAAGTCTTAACGAGCTAAATCTGGTATGACATAAACGAAAACAAATGATTATACTTATATAATGTGTACTAATCTGACTGCCTAAACCACAAGCACCACAGATTATGACATAATTTTGTATAACTGGATGCAAAGTACCTGCAGGCAACTTCACAGAAAGGAGGTTTAGGGACCACGAACAATAGAAAGTGCAAGGAACGCAAGTAGGGAGCTGGACGGCAAAGCGTGTGTTTGAACGCATAAAGTGTAGCTGAAAGAATTTTATATTCGCCTCTGTCAACCATTGCTAAACGTGATTCCTGCGATTTCATCCATTTCGTCGTCCTGTCTGTCTGAACTGTTGTCGTCGCTGCTGTCATTGTCATCACTTCCCACACTTCCAAGACTGGCTACGATGGGGTTGACTGATTTGTCAAAACATATATCCCTGCCATAGTACTCGTTTTCCAATCTTCGCCCATGGTTTGAAATATTTCTTCACGCAGGCATTTCATATCTTCCATATTACAAATCATTTTATGCAACCTGACCTTTAACTTCTGCCCACATGTTTTCGATCGGGCTTAAGTAGAAGTTCCCCCCCCCCCTCTTGTTTCCGTCTCAACACAACCATCAGAATCTCATTCACATGTGACTGTGTATAATGAGTTTATTGGTCTTAATATATGACAATGTGCTACATGTTCCGGCTTATAAAGCCATTATCCAACCTCTCGTCACTTCAACTCTCTTCGGTCCAAATATTCTCCTCAACACCCTGTTCTCAAACACCCTCGTCTATGTTCCTCCCTTAATGTCAGAGACCAAGTTTCACACCCATACAGAACCACTGGAAAAAATATAGTTTTTATATTCCAATTTTTATGTTTTTGGACAGCAGACGAGAAGACAAAAGGTGCAAGACTGAATGGTAGCAAGCATTACCGGAGTTCGGTCTCCTCTTAATTTCCTCCTCAAAGAGGTTTTGATTTGTTATCATATCAGACAGTACACATTAACAAATATTTTCGAACTATTGAATTGCGCTTTATCTGAATTCATATGTTACAATACAATAACTATTACTGTTAGTAATGTACCTGACATTCCTCTCAGTTAGAACACTGAACCTTGCGTAAAAGGCGCGCAGCTCCTTTCAAGCCCACCCAACAACTAACAGTAACTTTCGGAAAGTTCCTCTACGTTACAGTGCTACTAATTGAGCTGACAACCATTACCCACTACTTACCAATACCCCTCTCGCCTCTGAGCTTTCCGTTCAAGAACATCAAAAGTTCATGTGCGCCACACACTCAAAGACTTCTGCTGAACATGCGAACGTGGTCCATTCTGTGGCTGTTTTCATTCCTGAAGCGCCACACAGATGTTAGATACTCTATTATCACGACTGTCCGACTTCTTGATCAAAACAAGACGTGATGCAGTTTTCCACCACCTAAAACTCACATTGCTTAAAATTTCTCGTAATTTGGTATTGCAGCTTTGAAAGTTTGTGTCGCCTTTTAGCTTTCGCTAAAGAGTTTCAATAGTCGGAACAAGTTTTTCTGTGACATAGAAGTTACAGATTGTTCTAAGAACTACAGCCTCATCAAAGCCGTGTAGTCGGTATTTCGATGTTCCTTGTCACGCGTTTGTGTGTGTGTCATATGTCGAGAATGATGTTTCTTCTACATCTAGCCAGTTCGCCTCTTTCAGTTTCCAGCACCGTAGCGCGAGACCCTTCTGTCGCTGTCCACAACTGCTCTTTCTCGATCGGAAGGGATGGTTCTTTATTTCTTGACTCATATTCCATTAAAGTTATCAAATTATAGATTACTTCCATGCCTGCGAGTATAATTTATTCCGTTTTAATTTCGACATAATCGCTGTCCCCTTAATAGCTGGTAAATAGGAGAAATTAAAAAATACCAACAATGCAAGCACGCGCCTAAAATCTCACACGTTTTTTACACTTACTTACTCATGGAGCTGAGCTCTTCTTGAGGAACCGCAAATTCTGCAGCTACTCAAGAATTTCCCAGCATGTTATGGAACCCGAAGGTTCGTTACCGTGTTCACAAGGGCCCTCCACTGGTCCATATCCCGAGCCACATCAATCCAGTCCATACCATCCGATCCTATCCCTCTTAAGTTCCATGTTCAGAACCATGATCTCAGACACCCTCAGTCTATGTTCCTCCCTTAATATCAGAGACCCATACAGAACCATAGGTAAAATCATAGTTTTGTATATTCTAATTTTAATGTTTTTGGACAGCAGACGAGAAGACAAAAGGTTCTGGACTGAATGGTAACAAGCATTACCCGAGTTCAGTCTCCTCTTAATTTCCTCATGGATCAGGTTTTGATTTGTTATCGTTGTTCCCAAATATC